CTTCCAACAAGATAAACACTTATTTATGGATTCCAATGGTCTCCACCTGCTTACTTCCAGCAGTTTCCACTGCTTTCAACCTGGGGGTGAACTTTCCGGAGAAGGTCCAACACTGGGTCAACCTCGGGCTCACAAAACTATGTGTGGCACCTGTGTCGAACAGTGTATATGCCATCGCGCCCCCTACTGAGACCGATCCTACATGATTACTTATATCTAGTCATGCATTTCCATTCTACATTCCTATTCACAAGCAAAAATATAGAATATCACAAAACATTACTAAACAGCGATCGGTGCTGCTCCTTCGGGATCTCCGATGGTGAAAACACGAGATTCCACAGCTTGCCTCTTAGCTGGTGGTCCTGGCAATGCTCCCACTCCTTGCTGAGGATTCGCATTCCCCGGACGATCCCTCCTCTGATGGCCACTCTTCCCACAATAGTAGCACCGGTTAGTCCCTGCGACTGCGCAATCCTTCTCATGGTGGCCAACACTACCACAGCCAAAACATTTGTGGGCGCCACACCTTCTTGGGTGCCTCCTTCCACACCTCTGGCACATAGGCAGTCCAACCCCTGGAGCTGCCATAGTGTCCCAAGTCCTTTTCGGCCCTTCCTGAGCACGGTTTGGACGGGACGAGCCCTGCCTGACTCTCCTTAGCTCCTCAAGCGAGGTCTCTTGGATGGCAGCTGTCTCCACAAGCTCCACCAAGGTGTCATATCTCCTAAGAGAACACCTGCTCCTCAGCTCCAACTTCAAGCCCTTCATGAACTGACGAACCAAATCTGCCTGCGTGAACTGCTTCCTGGAGAACCTCCTCAACCGATCGAACTCCTCCTTGTACTCTCTCACAGTACGGTGCGCCTGACGCATGTCCTCAAAAGCACTCTCCATCTGATCCAAATCTTCAGGTGGGAAATACTCCTTAGCAAAGGCTTCCTTAAATTCCCGGTAGGTCAGCTCATAACGACCTTGAGTCGCTTCGACCACACCATCCCACCATATCAGCGCCTCTTCCTTCAGGTACTGAACAGCTAGATCCTTCCGGTATCCCTCCGGACATCTCATTGCTTCAAAATTCCTCTCCAACCTCTTCCTCCAGTTATCCGCAGACACTGGGTCAGACCTCTGATGTGAACTTGATGTGGTGGTGTCGAGGGTTGTCAAGTTTTACTCTAATTTAAATCAATAGCCGCAAGTGCACAACTGATCGATTGTAGTACTTAGGGATCGAATCCACATGGAAGGAGGATCTTTTCCTGCAAAAAGCCTTTGAAATAAGTTAAAGTAAGGAAGTCTAGAACAAAAACGGTTTAGTGGGGGGGTTTGGTATTGTGTTTAAAATGTAAAAACAAAATATTAAAAGAGAATACGGAAATTAAATGACGTAATAACTAAACTTAACGAAAATAACTAAAAATGATAAAAACGGATATTCTAATGCTTAAATAAAAATGAACTAAAAAGGAAAGACAATATTGAACTAAAGCTTTAAAGAAAATCGGTGTAAATCAATGGAAAAGAAAGCGTTGGGCTTCAGGGAAGTTTTCTCAGGGGTACGAACGATTCAAAACATTGCTAGAGAGGAAATTTTGTAAGATCTTAGCTTAAACTTTTTGAACTGGAGTCACGGACGTATGAATACGCCACTGTCGTGATCATAGACAACTATCTCTCTCAACCCTGACCAGTAGGTTTCCACTCTGGCCCTGGAAGAGAAGAGATGCATTATGTTTAAGACTCGTCCTAATTCACAAATCGCCCATAGGTAGGTTTCCACTCCTATGTTTGTTTTGCTCTCCCAAACTAGATCTGATACCTGATGAACACTTTCGTGTCACCAAGCATCTGGATCAGATTATAGTTCATGACGCTACTCTCATGCAGTAAAAACGAATTCAGAAGAAAAAGTTCTAAGATTCGGCTCAAAAGCTCATGGAATCCTCATCGAACATATAAATCCCTTAATCCCAACAATAAAACTACTCAGGCATAATGAACGAAATCAAAGACATAATATTAAGAAGTAGGATAGAAACCGAAATTGAAAAAGAAAGAACAAGGGTTCAAGAGAACAAATCTCTCTCTCCCTAAAAGCTAAAGCAAAAACAATAAAAGTATGAAGTAATAATTCGGTTCTCTATGGTGTCTTTTGTTTAGGGTTCCTAAGACATGTATTTATAGTGCTCAAGACCTCTCTGGACGTCACTTAGGGTTTCTCCAAATGTGGGCTTCAGAAATGGGCTTTTTGGGCTCGGAGGTTGATGGCCGCGGTCGGGAGTGCTGTGACCGCGGGGAATGTATGGTTTGCCGCGGTCGGGATGCTCCTGACCGCGGGGAATGAGTGTTTGGCCGCGGATGGAAGTGCTTTCCGGTTGGTTTACGGGACATCTTGCTCTTCGCGTATCTTTTGATTGAACTGTTAGATTGCCAAGCTGTAAAGTGCACTGGAAAGCTGATACTTCCATCTTTAAGGTCTCCAAATTTGAGCTGGATCAGACGGTGAGAAGACCTTCAATCAAGGGTGAACTTCTGACGGTTTGACTCTGAGCTGAAATTTGCTTATCTATCCATTTTGTTAAGTTTTTCCCTAAGTTACCTGAAAAGAGTCTTGGAACTATAAATACTAGAAAAACGTAATAAAAGTACTTAAAAGCAATTAAAAACATAGAAAAAGTATTTCAAAACGATCCATAAAAATGGTCAAAATACGGTGTTATCAATTCCCCAGACTTAAACCTTTGTTTGTCCTCAAACAAAGCAAAAGCCTAAACTGGTTAAGTGAAAACAAAAATAGGGAATGCACAAATCTCATAGACATGAACTCCTAAACTAGGACCAAAGATATATAGTGCATCAATCCACAACTTAGTCTAGAAAATTCTCACCAATGCACAAGAGATACTAGTCCACTTTTTCCGTCATGCAAAACTTAAACAATATAATTCTTGATTTCAGTCAACTAGCTCTCTACATTCATTAAGTTCAATAGTGAGTTCTCATTAAAGACATCATCCAGGGTAGACGGCGTTTGGCATTAAAGGGATATTTAAGTGGTAGAGTTAAAGTGTTTCGGGTTACCTGAAGATCTGGAGGATGGAAAATAATATGCAAAACCGCAAGAGAGATAAGGACCTGTTGATGACCACAGTTTTCAGTTACTTCTTCTTGCCAAATGTTGTTGCATAATCCTTCATCCTTTGTTGTAAACAGCTGTTCCCCCAGACTTAGATTCTTTCCGGGAATCAGAAAACAATCTCAAAAACTCCATAAAATCAAACTCCAGTTGCCTTGGGACTTAAAATTCGACCTCTCTAGACTCTCTAAGGCTTTTATTTCCTTTCTTTTCTTATTTTCGGTTTTTTTTTTTTTTGAAAAGGAATTGCCTTTTAAAGAGAGAGACTAGAGGACGAGATTGTACCAAAATTTGAGATTTTTCTAAGGCAAACTGAGCTTCCTCTTGTGTTGAATCCTTCCGGGAACTCTTCCGGCAAATCGCTGGTCTCTGTCCTTGGTGACTGAAAACTGCGTCGTTCCTCTTTCTCTCTAACGTTTTTGCACTTATCTGCATATAAGACAATAGAAAACAAGAGTGCATGTGGTTTGAAAGAGGATTGGTTAAGGTGGGGAACTAGCTAAAGATGAACTAGCCATTCAGGATCAACAGAGAGTGGTAAAAGGATAAAAGAGTCCTGAATGTATGATTCGTTTCCCTGGTCTAATGCTTCAATGAGAAAATTAAGTCCAAATTAAGTCCAAATAAAACAGAGCTAGTGTATCCCTTCATCTAAATCGAAATCATTCAAATTCCTCAGGGGTACTTCGTTTCAAATGTGCTTAGCTACCGCCTAGTCTAGTCCTAAATCATGAATGAGCATGTCACTAGGAACAGTCTAAAGCACACAGTCAACTATCATTGATTCATGTTCACCATTCCCTTTAAAACGTATTTTGTTTTGAAAACCGATTTTGAAAAACTTTAAGGAAAATGCAAAAACTGTAGATAATGCAAGACTCATGAAAGAAAAGTGGTTAGAAAGGGATGAAATCCTCCCCCAGACTTAAATCACACTGTCCTCAGTGTGAAACAAGTCGAGACTGGATGAGAAAAATGCATAAATAATCGAATTGGTAAGGACAAAAAGAACTTACCTGGATCCGGGATGCTGGTGGAGATGAACCGGATTCATTCGAAGAGGTTTGGGAAGGTGATTAGGTGGTGATGAAGGTGGTGGAAGGTGATGAATGAGGTGGAGGGTGATTGGTGAGGTGAAATGAGGTGAAAGGGGTGGTTTGGGGTCGGGTTTGATGTCAACGACCAAGTGCCGCGGTCAGGGGTCATACGACCGCGGCAACCAAGTGCTTGGCCGCGGTCAGGACTACGCGACCGCAGTCGAACATGTGTTTCCCGCGGTCCGAACACTTGCGACCGCGGGGGCTTATTTTGCGGCCTCTTCCTGCTTCTCATTGGTTCCTGCTGGGCCGAGCAGTCAGGTACCATCCTTCTTTTTGGTCTTTTCGGGATTTTTTGATTTTTTTGGCTTTTTTGTTTTATAAGAAACACCTGAAACTAAGAAAAAGAAAAAGATCAAAAGAAAAAAAAAGAAAAATCCTAAAGAAAACAATACCTAAATGGGTTGCCTCCCATTAAGCGCTTCTGTTTTAAGTCGTTTAGCTCGACTTTTGGTGTTGGACGTGACTTATTCCAATGAAGAAGACCTTGTCCTGAGACAAGTCTTTTTCGACATCTCCCTGCTTTGCTTAGCAGGTTCTTCGTCACTCCAAAGTTCTTCTTCAAACTCTTCTGCTGCAGAACGTTTTTCTGCTTTGCTGTTGTATGGGACAGCTTCTGTGAAGACATCTTTGTCGATATTAGCAAATGAAATCCTCCGGTTTGGCCAGTCCATTATAGCTCCAGAAGTTGCTAGAAAAGACCATCCGAGAATCACTGGATATGTTGCGTCTCTTGTCTCGACAATGTAGAAGTCGACAAGCACTATGCAATCTCCTATTCTCAAAGGAATTTCATGAGTTATTCCTTGAGGTGTTGCATTTGAATCATCAGCTAGACTAATCTTTGCTCTAGTCCTGCGCAGGTGTCTAAGACCAAGTCTCAAAGCAATTGCCTTGGACATCATGTTAAGACAAGCTCCTGAATCACATAGCACGTTTTTAAACATTTCTCCTCTAATAGAACAAGAGATAAGAAACTGACCTATACCTTCTATTTTTTGAAGTGTTCGAACAGGTTTACCTCTTCTGGCATGATTGAACAAGTCTTCTATCTCAGTGATTGATTCTTTGCTCTCACAGAAGTAGTGGACTATCATGAAGTCCTTGCAAGCTTTGGCAAACGTGATTCCTTCAGGTAAATTTCGAACCACATCATTAAATTCGTCGAGCTTTTCCTTGCTGATTTTGTTGGTGTAGTGGCTGCAGTCTTCCGGATTTTTGAGGTGAATCGCATAGACAGCTGCTTCTGGTGTTGTCATGTATCGAGCTCTCATAAAGTATCTATGAATATCCTCTTTAGACTACTTGCAGTACCTGAAAAAGACTTGCAAACGATCAAGTTTCCAGATTTCATCAAAGCTTAAATGAGCAGGGAATGACCTGACTACCTTGTTGAACTCCATTAGCTTCTCTCTACTGATGTTGTTGGTGATCTATTGAATTTCTCCTGACCATCTTCTGAGGAATATCCTGCGTTTGGATCTTCTACAAACAATCCATACTCCTCATCTTCAGAGTATTGCTCTTCATACTCATCTTCACAAGACAAAGCCATGTTGCAAGGCCATGACTTGTCCTCTTCTTCAGATCTTTGGGTGCTTATGGAGCAAACCAGTTGTTGTTGAAGTGGTTTAGTTATCCCAGGATGTGTACCAGACGTACAGATGCTTGTATGAGCTGAACGGGGCTGTTTTGGAACGTTTTTATGGTTGGCCTTGACTGCAGGTGACGCGACCGCGGGGAAGCGACCATGGGCCGCGGGCAGACCCATCACGACCGCGGGGGAGCGCCTGTTGGCCGCGGTCGGAGCCAACGCGACCGCGGGAGTTTGTCTCCGAGCTGCTCTGCTGCTGTTGCTTCCTCCTTTGCCTCCTGGGTGGTCTCCTGGGTCTTCTGGCTTGATGTACTTCCTCTCTGGACTTGAGTCTTTAGTTTTGGTTGCTGGAATCTGCTTTCCAAGTCCTTGCATGATCTCCTCAACCTTTTCTTCAACTTCATCAAGAGCATAGACTACTTTGTCCATGGTTGAGTCAAGCTCTTCGGTTTTGTCGATGACTTTGTACACCTTCTCTGAAACTTTGACTGTAAAGTCATAAGACTCGTTCTTAGCTTCGTTTAGGGATTTGTCCACGTCATCAAGCTTGAAATCCAGGTCCATGACTTTGTTTTTGGTGTTGCGAAGCTCATAGTTGTGCTTTGCTTGCTCTTCCTCCATGTTGTTGAACCTGTTAGCAATCATAGCTGCATCCTTGGTTGCACGTTCTTCTATTGAATTGACTTGTGAGGCTAGGTTATCGATTTTTTCATTGAAAAGTTTCGATATCCCATCAATCCTTTCGTTTAGAGCAGTTGTAGCGGTTGCTTGAGCTTCTATGAACTGTCTGATCACGCCTTAGAGCTGACTCAGTCTGTTGCTGAGCTGGACGTTCTCATCTTGCTGGAGAACTTGGTGAGGTAGGCGATACATAGAGTATCTAGGGTTTGCCATTTGAGGTGCGTAGGGCTCCTTCTGGAACGTTCTGTAGTCTTCGGGTTGAATTTCTTCGTAGAGATCGCGTAGATGCTTCTCTCTGCGTCTGGTGGCTTGAGGAGTGTTATAGAAACCTTCCTCATTTTGTTTATTTTGATTTATAGGATCCATATCTTCTGAAATGGAAACAAAATAACCGAAAAATGGAAAGTTGCAGAAAAGGGGGTTCTAGAATCGATTTACTAACCTTTCTCGGGGTTTTGCAGAAAAGAAAACGCGTGCCTTCCCCGACAACGGCGCCAAAAACTTGATGTGAACTTGATGTGGTGGTGTCGAGGGTTGTCAAGTTTTACCCTAATTTAAATCAATAGCCGCAAGTGCACAGCTGATCGATTGTATTACTTAGGGATCGAATCCACATGGAAGGAGGATCTTTTCCTGCAAAAAGCCTTTGAAATAAGTTAAAGTAAGGAAGTCTAGAACAAAAACGGTTTAGTGGGGGTTTGATAGTGTGTTTAAAATGTAAAAACGAAATATTAAAAGAGAATACGGAAATTAAATGACGTAATAACTAAACTTAACGAAAATAACTAAAAATGATAAAAACGGATATTCTAATGCTTAAATGAAAATGAACTAAAAAGGAAAGACAATATTGAACTAAAGCTTTAAAGAAAATTGGTGTAAATCAATGGAAAAGAAAGCGTTGGGCTTCAGGGAAGTTTTCTCAGGGGTACGAACGATTCAAAACATTGCTAGAGAGGAAATTTTGTAAGATCTTAGCTTAAACTTTTCGAACTGAAGTCACGGACGTATGAATACGCCACTGTCGTGATCATAGACAACTATCTCTCTCAACCTTGACCAGTAGGTTTCCACTCTGGCCCTGGAAGAGAAGAGATGCATTATGTTTAAGACTCGTCTTAATTCACAAATCGCCCATAGGTAGGTTTCCACCCCTATGTTTGTTTTGCTCTCCCAAACTAGATCTGATACCTGATGAACACTTTCGTGTCACCAAGCATCTGGATCAGATTGTAGTTCATGACGTTACTCTCATGCAGTAAAAACGAATTCAGAAGAAAAAGTTCTAAGATTCGGCTCAAAAGCTCATGGAATCCTCATCGAACATATTAATCCCAACAATAAAACTACTCAGACATAATGAACGAAATCAAAGACATAATATTAAGAAGTAGGGTAGAAACCGAAATTGAAAAAGAAAGAACAAGGGTTCAAGAGAACAAATCTCTCTCTCCCTAAAAGCTAAAGCAAAAACAATAAAAGTATGAAGTAATAATTCGGTTCTCTATGGTGTCTTTTGTTTAGGGTTCCTAAGACATGTATTTATAGTGCTCAAGACCTCTCTGGACGTCACTTAGGGTTTCTCCAAATGTGGGCTTCAGAAATGGGCTTTTTGGGCTCGGAGGTTGATGGCCGCGGTCGGGAGTGCTGTGACCGCGGGGAATGTATGGTTTGCCGCGGTCGGGATACTCCTGACCGCGGGGAATGAGTGTTTGACCGTGGGTGGAATTGCTTGCCGGCTGGTTTACGGGACATCTTGCTCTTCGCGTATCTTTTGATTGAACCGTTGGATTGCCAAGCTGTAAAGTACACTGGAAAGCTGATACTTCCATCTTTAAGGTCTCCAAATTTGAGCTGGATAAGACGGTGAGAAGGCCTTCAATCAAGGGTGAACTTCTGACGGTTTGACTCTGAGCTGAAATCTGGTTTTCTATCCATTTTGTTAAGCTTTTCCCTAAGTTACCTGAAAAGAGTCTTGGAACTACAAATACTATAAAAACGTAATAAAAGTACTTAAAAGCAATTAAAAACATAGAAAAAGTATTTTAAAACGATCCATAAAAGTGGTCAAAATACGGTGTTATCAACCTCCCGCCAAAGGCTTCCATTCCCATATCCTTCAAATGTTTCATGGCCTGATAATAGGTCAGTCCAAACACATTGACAGGCGCAAGAGGCGGTGGAGGCACATACTGCTGCTGAACAAACACTGGCGGCACTACCACAGGCGGCGGCTCAAACACTGGCGGCTGCACATTCTGCTGCTCCTGCTGAGCATTCACTCCCACTCCAGGGTTCAAGTGGCCATACATCTCTCGATAACGGCGCAACTCCTCCAGGACTGCAGCATGAGCTGCTTCCGCTGCTGGAGGCACTTGAACAGGCACACCTCCCGCAAGGTTCTCTCCCTGCTGATCCACATGAGCTGGGGGCACTGGGGCAACACTTCCTGATGTGCCCGAGGCCTCATCAGCACCACCTGAACGACGAGCTTGGGATCTGGTGCGCACATTCTTTGCCCTCGGAGGCATCTGACAAGACATAGAGACAGATAAGTTAGCCTGGTCCCGTAAAGACTAACTTCCTGCAAAAGAAAAGAACAACAAAACTAGAGAGACTAGTCTAGGTGGTGGTTTTCTTTCTTTGAAAATATTTGGAAAATCTTTGAACTTAGAAAAATTGAAAACTTTTAAAAACTTTGTAAACCCCCTTTTTTTTTTTTGAAATCCGAATCCCATTCCCACTATTCTAGACTTAGCTCTCTTAACACCTAGTTCGAACCATGCTCTGATACCAAATTGTAACACCCCGATTCCTGGTTCCGAAGGAAATCAGAATAAACCGGGATATTAACTAACCTAAACCAAACCAATCCCAAATAACCAGTTGTTCTTTATTCAAATCCAAACCCAAATCCAAGTCTTACAATAGAAATGAAATAACTTATTAAATCCGAAATAAATAGAAACATTGTCTTAAAGAGAAAGGTGAAATAATTCTTAATAAAAAACAATAAAACTTCCTCCATTTCTGAAGGCACACCACACTAGAATTACTCGTCTAGTTCTTCCCAGACATCATCACAATCACACTCACAATCACAATCACCTGCATATCGGAATTTAGAGAGAGAGGGGTGAGTAATTTGGGAGAATTACTCAGTGAGAACCAAACCAGGCTCCCGCCTTATTCATTTATTTCCACCAACATATTAAGAATAAATCTAATGAAACCAAGCAAGCACTCTACAAGTGCACAAGCAACTAACAAGCAGTGATGTCTCCGATCCCGCCTCTCAATAGGCCAAACCACCTTATCACTCAGACACAGGTCGACATCTCACCCTGTCACACGGACAGTCACCCTGTCACACAGACAGAGACCCTGTCACACAGACAGTCCAATCCCGGCATGCCACATGGACAGCCCTGTGGGTCATCACTCCACCGGATGAATGGATTATTGCCACGGTCACACAGACGGCACATAACCCAGCAAACAAGCCTGCATTCGGCACATCACTATACCGGAAACAGACTATGACCTTTAGGACTTCTACCAATCACTAACCAATCAACAGGGTTATCAATCAATCATGCTGGTTCTTCCTCTAATGAGATCCTAGATCTTATTAGTTATATATATATATATATATATATATGGATCTGCCTAGATGCACAAGAAGACAGACCTGTCCCACCAGATCTAGACTCAACACACCAGAAGAAGATAAAGGGATAAGAAGAAAGACCTAGATCTAATCCTCACCTTGGCCTAAAAGCAGATCTGAGATTAAGGAGAACTAGAAGAGGCAAAAGAATCAAGCAGCTTCTGAGAAGGTGGAGGCAGGCGAGTGCTCCTTCTTCTCTCGGCAAGTGGCGGCGGCGGCACCCTTCTCTGGCGGCGGCGGCGGCGGCGTGCAGCTTCTCCTTCTCTCTCACACTTTCTTTTCTTTGGGGGCTAGGGCAATTAGAGGCAAAATGAGGCTCATTAACTCCTAATTCCCTATTTATATTAGGGTTTCTGGAGTGGGCCTGGATTTGCTGGGCCTCCTCTAATTGGGCTGGGTTTGGGATGTTACAACCTCATAGACGAATTCGTCTCTCTCTGTCCTCTGACACATGACACAAGTCTCGTGCTTCATACAAGTCAAAAACCGCCTCAGCTTCGAGACCTTGTCCATTATCACATCGTCAACCTCAAAATGAGCTTCTTCTTATCCTTATTCAGCTTCTGGACCACGAGGTAAGAATGAGAAATATTGAGAACCTCGAGGGTTTTCAGTTCATCCAAGATTTTATGAGGGCATCTCGGTTAATGGAAGTGCATCTGAGGCTTAGGACTTTCAAGTCCGGGAGGAGCTGGACTAGGTTCTGTTCGAATATGAGCTCGATGGGTCCCATTACCTTGTGTTTCCCTTGCTAAGACTCATGGAGAATTTGAAGGTCCGAGTCAGTTCCTTATCCGAGCGGCTCTCCACGTACACATAGGACTAGTATCTACATGGAGCACTATCTTTGTCGCTCTAAACCCAACACTTTTTACCAAGTCTACTAGAAAGCAGCAATAAGCAATCACATGATCTCAAAACCAATTAACTTAGAACTCAAATCTAGACTAATCTTCTCATGAAGGCATTAATCTCTACACTAATCCACTTTCAAACCAAATCATCATTTGTGAAATATGAATCAGTGAACATTAAGAAACAGTTCTAATATGTCATTCATGCATTTAACAAATCATTCCCATGATGTAAAAGGCATAAACCCTTAGCTTAGCTCATTCAGACATTTCATCAAACACCTTGTGGGTAGAGAAATGACTAAGGTCTAGATCAGAGTGATGTGAAAAGATCTAGCATTAAGAGCAGCTAACTAAGGAAAGGAAATGAGAATCTAGAACCTAAACATCATAAACCGATCATCTAAGCACCCTAATCTACACACCTAGAAGCCTAAAAGATGACTACTCACTAATCATGATTAACACACCATTTCCCTTGCAAGAAGTGGTGTTAATCATGATTAGGAGTTTAGATGAGATGAGTAATTGATAAGAAACAGCTTAGAATGATGTAATCCTTCAGATATCTCTTAATCAAAAACGTTTTTACACTAAAAAGGAAACAAAATTAGAGAGAAACTAAGATAGAAGATGAGATGTTTAGGATTTTTTTCCAAAAAGCTATATATACTAAGTGCTAATGGACCGGGTGTGCCCAGGACAAACTGGGTATTGACCCGGCTCAGTTGGATAGTGGTATGGTTTGCCACGGTCAGATGATGCTTGGCCAGACCGTGGCAAACTGATAGTGTCAAAGTTCTTGGACAGATTCTTCATGATCAAGGTTGCCATGGCTTGATTTACACCATGTCTAGTGGCCGTGTCTCTTCTTTTCTGGGTTTGGGTGATGAACTTCTTGGATTGCCACGTTCTTGATCTGGACCGTGTCATGTTGGGCGTGGCAAGGTGTTGATTGCCAAAGTGTGATAGCATTGAGATTGTGTCATTTCTTGAGATCAAGCATTTTCTTTTGTGTTTTCTAATTTCTTTCAAGTTCTGTTTGTGATTTCAGGTGCATGAACACCAGGTCCAGATCAAGAAGCTGTGGTCCACCTTTCCCTCTCAATGACAACATTAATCTTTTGGTACCAAGGAGGAGAAGGGACAGGCGTGGCAGACAGATTGATCAGACTGATATGGAAGACCAAAGAGAGCATGTGGTGGACATAGAGCAATCGGTTCAAGAGCAACAGACTCAGGGTAATGGAGCTGGTAATGGAGTTGGTCAAGGGTTACATCAGGGTAATGTTCATCAGGAACAGGTGCATCAACAGCAAGCTTATGTCCACCAGGGACAAGCTCCAGCTCATCAGCAGAGGCATCAGGCCAATGCACAGCAAAGACAACAGGTGCACCACCAACATCAGCCCTTCCAACACCAGAAAAGGAGATATGAGCAGCCACAGGTCTATGTTGGAAAGAATGACAGGGCAAATGCTCATCAGTATGGAGCTGGAATTCAGGCACCACCTGTGCAAAACAACAGCTTTGAAGTGAAGGCATCCTTGTTAAATATGGTCCAGAACTCAAAGTTCCATGGATTAGCAATGGAAGATCCCTTGGAACACTTGGATCAATTTGATAAAGTGTGTGACCTGACAAAGATAAAAGGAGTTTCTGAGGACAGCTTCAAGCTAAGATTATTTCCCTTCAGTCTTGGTGACAAAGCTCACCAATGGGAGAAGAATCTTCGAAGAGGCTCCATTCAAACCTGGGAGCAATGCAAGCAAGCCTTCCTATTTAAGTTCTTCTCCACCTCCAGAACTGCTAAACTAAGGAATCAAATCTCTAGCTTCACTCAGCACAACAATGAGAGTTTTGGTGAAGCATATGAGAGATTCAGGAGCTACACCAACCAATGCCCACACCATGGGTTTAGTGAGGCTTCCCTTCTCAGCACACTATATAGATGAGCTCTTCCCAAGATTAGAAACCAACTGGATACTACTTCCAATGGGAACTTTCTGGAAAAGGAGATACATGCTGCTTTAGAGCTAGTGGAGAACTTAGCAATGAGCAATGACACTTATGGAGAAGACTATGACAGATCAAATAGATATGAAGGTTCAAGCTCAGAACAGAGGCTCAGCAGAGAAGTTAAGGAGTTGAGAAGTGAATTGGACAAGTTGAAATTCACCACTCAAAAGCCAATGCACTTTGTAGGAGAGTATGAGGAACCTTCTCAGATCTTTGAGAACATAAGTGAAGAAGACCTAACCCAGGAGGAGCTTAACTACATTGGGAATCACAGGTTCCAGAGATATCAGTATGGCAATGCAAATCAGAACCTCTCTTACAGGAATCCCAATGTAGCTAACCCACAAGACCAGGTCTATCCGAATTCTCAAGCTCCAAACAACTTTGTTCCCAAGAACAACTTTCAAGGGTCATTCCAACCCAAAAATCAGTTTGCTCAGAATCAGGGTTTTGGTCAGCAACAGCAACCATTTCAGGGTACTGGTTTCAGTTCACAGCAGCAAAAGGCACCACCAGGGTTTGGTCCACCACAGTTCCAACAGCAGGCGCCGGTTCAACAACAGTTTCAGCCACCACCGGTTCAGCATCAGCCACAGATGGGGTCAGATATGGTTGGTATTCTACAACAACTACTTCAAGGTCAACAGATAATTGCAAGCCAGAATGCAGCCATGCAACAGGAAATCAAGGAACTGAAGCAGAACCAGGCCTCAAGCTCAAGGAACCAAGGTCACCTACCTGGAAAACCTGAACCCAACCCAAGGAATATGCTAAGGCCATTACACTGAGGATTGGAAAGGAGTTACCTGGTATTGAGAACAACAATGTGATCATTGAGGACAATGATCAAACTGAGGGGGAGGTAGCCTTAAAAGATGATCAAGTTGCTGATAAACCAAGGCAAGAAAAAGGTAAAGAGGTAACAAAGGAACCTGAACCAGAAAAGGTATATGTGCCACCACCTCCATACCAACCCAAGCTCCCATTTCCAGGGAGATTT